ACTCAGGAAATGAACTCACTCTGCACTGTTGCCCTCTGTTCTTTGCATTCCATAGGGCAACCAAATGTTTGACCAGCCATACTAGCCCCAAAATCCCTGGAACCTTTTGGGATGGACCACTCCATTCCTGCAGAAAACAATAGTCACTGCAAGCCTAAATCTCAGTGAAATAGTATACCAAGAAAACAGATATAAACTTCCCCACTTTTGGAACATCTTCCTCCTGTCCAATGGACAAAACCAAATCCAGAGCATGACTTGCCATATAAAAGAAAAAAGAAAACCTTATTCTGTGGCTGATTTGATTTTTTCTCTAGAGGATGGTTGTAAGTAATACAAAAAGTCACAGTTGTCTTCTGCAAGAAGTTTAGTGTTAAGATGTGAAGAGCCATGACAGCCCCAGTATGCCAGGGATTAACTGTATGAATTTGCTTAACTTCCTTTAACAATCAGACTTTTTTTGAAATAAATTAATAAATGCATTCTAAAAATCTCACATATTTTTATAAGAGCTAAGCTAAGCCAAGGACATTTGCAAGAGTTTAGGATTTTGCATTTTTCTTTGGTTCCTTGGAATACCCAGAAATAATTATTATGATGAATGTTTCCAAACATATGGAGGTAAATATTTCTAATTGTCTACCAGGTTAATATAAATATGAAAAGGTAGTTAAAATGTTCATGCAACTTTGGGAAAGAAGCTGGAAAGGACAAAAGTTATTAAAATAAGACTCATTCAAAGACTGCTACATATTTTGAATAAAACATTGAAGTTTTTTAAAATTCAAATTTCAAAAAACCAAACCATTTTATAAATAAATGCACATCAGTCCTCCAGAGTTGAAATTTTAGGGTTTTTTTCATCTCGCCTTTCCATATTAACAGATATTTGGTCCTACAGCACAGATTTATTGAGGTAATGTTCTTACTAATCTGGGAACTAATCCATGCTATGTCAGCTCTACTACCAACAGTCATCATTCTTGGATTTGTAAATGGCCCCACATTTTTTGTACACAGTTCTTGCTTGTGTTATTTCTACCTATGCATTCATGTCATCAAACAGAATAATTTCCCCTGGATTGCATACTTTCAGTATGTTGCACAATTTTCCACCAAACTTATTTGGGTTCATCTATTATTTATTTATATTTCATATTTCTAAACTGCTCATCTCCTTCATTACCATCATTTACTGTAGCTTAACGTGTAGCTATCACCTACCTATGGATTTGTACTTTTAAATGCACCTACAGCAACCTCGTGGACATCAATTCATTCTTTCTAACATGTTTTGTAGCTCTTCCATTGATAAGGAAACCAACAGCTTAATTTTCCCAAATGCATTCCTCTATCCTTCATGGCCACACCATTTGCATTCAGTTCTATTGTCTCATTCCCTCTTATTTAGTTCCACAGGTACATTATTTTTCTTTCATTAATTTCTTGACTTTTTAACTTATTCTTATTATAATCCAAGTCACAATCTTCATTATGAGATGGCTGATAGCAGATGCACCCATTGATATAGACTTCCAGGGAAATGTGAAAAACTGAAGGATGAGTGTGTTCCAGATCATGTGTGAATGAGGATGCTTCTTGAAATTTGAATCAATACCTTTCCCTGCTCCTATTTCTAATCTAAATATGTGTCACCATAGAACAACTTTGGATTGATAGTGACAGGACATCTGTAGATACTCCATAAGTACCATCTTTTTAATTAGCAAAACTGCAGAAATTAATATCTGAAAGTATGGTGTGGTTTATACATGTTGTTTATTTTGTTTCTACAAATGAGACCTCATCTGTTGGAACTTGGCAAACTTGAACAGAGAACTGAGTGTCATTCTGTAGGCTGCAATTTCTGCCAGAACACTCTCTCTCTCTCTCTCTCTCTCTCTCTCTCTATCTATCTATCTATCTATCTATCTATCTATCTATCTATCTATAGATATAGATATAGATATAGATATAGATATAGATATAATGTGTCTGTCTGTCTCTCTGTCTCTCTGTCCCTCTCTCTCTCTCTGTGTGTGTGTCTGTCTCTCTGTCTCTTTGTCCCCGTGTGTGTGTCTCTCTGTGTCTCTGTCTTTGTCTCTGTCTCTCTCTGTGTGTGTGTGTGTTTGTGTGTCTGTCTGTCTGTTTCTCTGTCCATGTGTGTGTGTCTCTCTCTCTGTCTGTCTGTCTCTCTCTCTCTGTCTCTCTTTGTCTCTCTCTGTCTGTCTGTCTGTCTGTCTGTCTGTCTGTCTGTCTCTCTCTCTCTCTCTCTCTCTCTCTCTCTCTCTCTGTGTGTGTGTGTGTGTGTGTGTGTGTGTGCATGTGGTGGAATTACTCTGGCACATACTTAATGGCAAAAACCCAACTTCTGAGAATTATGACTAGGTTAAGGACAAGGCAACTAAAGATCAGAATAAACAACTACTATATGTCTATTTGTGAGTGCATTCAGAAATGGGTCTGCTGCACCAGTATGTGGTGATATGTCACTCTTTGTTCAATGTGCCCAAGGGAATTCACATGGAAGCTAAATCTGTGCTGTTTACAAGCTTGCCTGCTGCTGCTCTTTTCTTCATCAGCTGAAAAGTCTATAGACAATTTTCCATTCAGTAAATCACCATCAGCCACTGCAAAGCAACAAACAAATAAAAACTCCCCAGCATGGTGAAGAGAAATGAAAGGTGTAAGGTTAAGAGGAGCTATCTATTGTATGCAGCTGTGTGTATATACTACAGCTATCTTGCTGAATGCATGGTTTTGGGTATTAATGGGTAATACCCATTCCAGAACTAAACTGCACATACTGTATGCCCTGGATAACAAATCCATAATCCATTGGGAAGATACATAAATTTGCTATTTCCATGAAGTTTGTCCTTGTGGAATGAAGATGGTCAGATCGGTCATCAATATCTTTTCATGCCAAGTTAGTAAACTTCATTGGATGTGACTGATGGACCAACTCAAAGCTTTGACTAATTTTCTTTAGCCCTAGAAGGTTGTCCAGATCAGGGAATAGATTTTACAAGAAAACTAGTACTATTCTTTATTGTGAAAGGCTATGGTAACAAAATTTTGCAAGTGATTGTATTTTCTCTTCCTTTCCTCTTATACCCTAGGGACTCAGGATGATAGCTAGCCTGAGTCTCTTTCTAATATTTTTCTCTGGGCTTTGGACTCAAAGCATGCTTATGCACCTGTTTAATGGACTCTATATAGTTTTTTCCAAGGTCATCCACATAGCTTCCCACACTCTCAGATACCTGCTGGCCTCACATCTAACTAGTGCTTAATACACAATCAACAGTTTATACACAGTTATATAGTGAAAGCTCTATATAATGTAATTATGTATAAGTCACTACATTGCTTGCGACTGTACGACAGACTTTTTTCAAATAGGAGATGATCCTCAGTATGAGAAACATTGGCCCAGTTTTCAATCGCAAGGTTCAATATTCTAAGTTACTTTTGAAATAGGCAAGTGAACATGGATTTCAACATTGAATGCTAAATTAATAGATGCAGCCAAAAATGCTCCTCTTTAGAGGAGTTATCTTCCTTAAATAAGTGATTAAGCTGACACATCCTCCACTGGCCTACAAACATTAAAATAACAAACACCCATTTGTTTGGGCAGACAGCATTTCAAAATTGCTCTTGCTGAAATATTTCTGATAATTTTTAGTGGCATTTTTGTTTTCAATTAAATCCAGATGCCACTAGTCCATGCAGTCTTATGTCTATGGAAGATGCCTAAGTAATTAGTCAATCTCTCCAGGGTTGTGGCACGACACTCCTAGTGGCTCCCAACAATATAGTTGGTGGTTTTAGTCTGCCAACAAACTGAATATTAATTTCTTCAGAGTATGAAACAGATCATTGTGCAGCCAAAATGCCAGCTAGAAGGTTCAATTCTTCATGTAAATCCACTTGTAAACATAACCATTCTTTGCTATTTACTCGGTAAATGGTTCTTATTCATAAGAGTACATAAAGTTCAACCTGCCTGTATCTGACCTTATGGTCAATTTTCAGAGGAAATCTGATTTGGAGGAGCTCAGTTATGGTGGACAGTTGGGGGATTTTGGGGGGAGAGGTGAGCTTTATTTTTAACAGGTGCAGATCTTTCTCTTAAACAAATGGTCCTACCAATGCTTAGCCTCATGAGTTTAGGAAACCAAAGCTAGATAGTATGACAAGATAAAGGCATTGCCTGTATAATCTTATATTAGAATGAAGTAATTTTGAAATGTGATGTGACCTTTTGATATAGTACTGTATAACTGAATAGTAAAAAGAGGAAAATAATAGCTCACAAGACTCTTGCTGTAGAATAATTTTCATATGTACTTTTTTCCAGAGATCATTTAAATATTTTAAAACTTTGAAAAAGTCCTTCCTCCTATTCTCCCAAATTTGTAAGCTAATGAATATGATGTGGAAGTGACCAGAGTGCTGCATTTGGATGTAATTCTCAAATGCCCATTCAATTAGAGAAGCCATTCAATTTTCATGACTCTGGCCTAATCTACATAGACACCAATTGGTCTGCCATTTACCAATATTTCCATGTTACAGGACAAATGGGGATTCCTATAAATGAGGTTTCCATGAATTATCTTTTCTGATACAATATTTGTTGATAAGATATTGTATCACTCACTAACTGTTGTTGATCTTAAAAAGCTAAGTGGAATCTGACCTGAGAGACCATTAGAATGTACCAGATTTTAAGAGTTGATCTCAACTCAAAAGACACCTTATTCATTTAAAAAAAAATTGTGCTCAAATGTTCCAAATTTTCCCCCATAGCTGACATCCCATATATGAGTTCCATTATTTTCTATGATTGAGTTGAAGATGGGCATATATAAATATGATTTTCCCTATAGCTGACATCCCATATATGAGTTCCATTATTTTCTATGATTGAATTGAAGATACGCATATATAAATATGAAGCTTTACAAATTATCTCATCTGTTTTTCATTAGGGAATTGATGCCAAGGACTCTTGATGGCCAGATCACCATGGAGAAGACGCCTAGCTACTTTGTCACTAAGGAAGCACCAGCTCGCATCTCCTCTATGTCGAAGGACACCAAGCTCATTGTGGTGGTGAGAGACCCGGTCACCCGAGCCATTTCTGACTACACACAAACCCTTTCCAAGAAGCCAGACATCCCATCCTTTGAGAGCCTGACCTTCAAAAATAGGACTACGGGCCTGATTGATACCTCCTGGAGTGCCATCCAGATTGGCATTTATGCCAAGCATCTAGAGAATTGGCTCCTGTACTTCCCGCTTGGGCAAATCCTTTTTGTCAGTGGGGAGAGACTGATCAGTGATCCAGCAGGCGAATTGGGCCGCGTCCAGGACTTTCTGGGCCTCAAGAGGATCATCACAGATAAACATTTCTACTTCAACAAAACCAAGGGGTTCCCATGCCTGAAAAAGGCTGAAGGCAGCAGCAAACCCCACTGTCTGGGCAAGACGAAAGGACGGACCCACCCCGACATTGACCAGAAAGTAATACAAAGGTTGCGAGAATTCTATCGGCCATTCAACATGAAGTTCTACCAGATGACTGGCCATGACTTTGGCTGGGATTAAGGCTGGAAAAATAGTAATTTAATCATATTAAAAGGAAAAAAATATATTTTTGTACATATCAATAGAGATGGAAATCTAATATTTGTGCTAAAGTCTAGTGATTCCAATTAATATTTTTGTTTTAATGCAAACATATATTTACTTGCTTTGTTATTCAAGATTTATGATATCCAGTTCCACAAATCCAGAAGACTGCCACTTAACTTATGGATAGGACTATTGACTATGAGACCTCACAGAGACAGAGACGCTTATTTTCAATATGTTATTTTTGAAGTTTTTATATAATAATTTGGTGCCTCAGTCTGTGGATTCTAGTATCAGTGCCCAGATGTTTTGTTTTTTTTAAAGCAACTTTAGTTGGTCATGTTGGTAACCAAATAATCAGGATTGAAAGACATTTTTCCAATTTGAGCTATTCTACTTGGTCAATTCATATGAGTTAGATTTAGACTTCTGCATTGCTGAAGTGGCTGAAAAGAGGTTTTCAATGAGTTTCAGGGTAAAAAAAACGGTCACTAAACATTTCAATTCTTTGTATACATTACAAAATTATTTATGCACTTGATCCTCATGTGACTTAATAAGGACATTAGGGCAGCAGCCTCTGTCTGGCACTAAACCAGATTTTATTCAAAGCTGTGAGGAACAGAAGATAACATTTTGGCTCTGTTGAAACATTCTAATTTCTTACTAAGTAAGGATGCTTTTCTGTTTGTATTACTAAAGCTAATATATACCCTTGAGATCGGGTCATTAGGCATTTACTGAAGAGTGATGTGAGGCCTTGTCCAAACATGTGACCCCCCCCCCCCAAATCTAGATGTTTTCTCAAAGAAGATCCAATAACCATACCAATTAAGATAAAATATCTTCATTATAGTTTGAAAGGCATTTCAAAGCTTTACTCATCTACCCCCCCACCCCCGACTCACCCACCTGTTGTCTCCATAAAGCCTTACATTGGCTCAGATTTCCTTGCCCACAATCCAGTGATAGATGGGCTGAGTTGATGAGTCAACAGTAGGAAAAAAGAAAGCCATTTTCCCTGTCAACTCTCCCACTTAAACTCAAAAGGTCATTGGGTCATCAGTCACTACCTCCAACCAACCATGATAGCTTTCCCTCTCAGCTCATAATGTCCAACTCTCATCTTTTTCTGAAATTGTGCCATAAAACATTTGAGTAAGTATTTTATAGCTACGCCAACAAAGAAGGAAAATATTTTGTTGTGCTATATCTCCAACTTTTATGTCTTAGGTATTTCTGAGTCCATGATTCATCTAAATAAAGTTATCACCTACTGGAACAGCTGTTGTGCCTGTGACTCTGAAAGACAAAAACTCTAGCAGCAGCAATATGGGCACAACATTTATTATGTTGGATTTTTGGGGCTCAACTTCCAGGTTCCCTAAAATGTATGCCACACTGCAACCTTCTAAGCACTAGGAATCACAGCACTGTTTAATCTATGGTTCCCCTCTAACAGTTCCCTTCTCCACCCCACCCCACCCCCCAAAAAACCCATGGAGCAATGAAATTATTCCCAATTAAAATTTACACCATAAAAGTTATAACATGATTTTTTAATTGGTCTAGCACATCTATACCAAATCCTAGACAATTGTTTGCTGACATGACAATCTACAGTAATTACAGATCTAGAATGATTAATTGTCTCATTGTCTCTGTGAATATTTGTACCATTGTACCTTTCCACATAGAATGATCCATCTTTTGATATTTCTGTCAGCTTCATAGTTACACTTGTAAGGCCAAACTAGAAGCGACAGTGGCTGATACATGTCTTATTACATTTCTATTACTTTACTGCTAAAGTAAATGCTGAAGAAACACTCTAAATATTCCTGTCTCCAACCCCGTATTTCTCACCAGTCTATTGCTCCAGACTGTTTTCTTTCACCTCATAGTTGGAACTGAAAAGGCTTAAAAGTTGATAGAAATAACTTGCAGCAAAGTAAAGTGTGGATAAAACTATTTGTTTACTTGATTATTAAAATTAACAGGTACCACATTCTGAAAGCAAATGACCAACAGACACTCCACTTCATCTAGCTTAGCCTTAATTTGTCTTTTTCAAGCATCTCTCACTTTTGTTAAAAGCTCAAAGTGACATGTATCAAGTGAGCATGTGTCTCTCATGCTTGCATAGCATATCCCAGCAAAACAATTTAGTGTCATGATGAAACACTTATGAGTCAGAAATTATATCTTACAGCAAATGAATGCCTGTTGTCCTTTCAGAGTCTGGGGCAAAGCAGTTTTGTAATATCTGAATAAATCTTGTGAGTTTATTTCTCTGATTTCCTAGAATTTGGGTGAAGATTTCCAGATGAAAACATGTTCTTGTTTTTTCTTGGGGCAGTGTTTGCATCTCTGTAGATGACATCAAACTGAAATGTTCTAACATGGAAGATATATTTTATAGAGTTGCGATGTTCAGCTCTTTGAACGGTAAAAGAATCAGAAAATATTCTCAAAGGTTATACTTCACTCACCAACATTTATGCCTGAAAGGTCATCTTTATCTAAAACAATATCATCAGACAACTTAAAGATAAATACTGATTTGTATTGTTGTTGTTTTTCTGTAATGGTTAAATCAGGAGCTTGTTCCACCACTGGAGATTACAATGTCTGTTTTTTTTTCTGAATGTAAACCTACAACAACTTTCTTGCTGAAAAGCTAAAGGATGCAGCTTTTGAACATTATTCTGAAATTATTACTTTTTACCATAGAAGGATATACAATATACTCACAAGTTGGTTACTAAATAAAATTTCAAGTCAGCTTGTCAACTGGTGAACAAATTACACAATCTTCAGAACAACTGATACAATAAATGCTAACAGATGCAGTATCATTTTATGTTTTGTGAATTTTGCAGCTCCTTTTCAAGAACATATCATATGCAGTTTATTTATTTTAGATAGTTATTGCTTTATTTTTCTTTTCTTTCCTGCATTATAGGGTAAACTATCTAAAGCCTGCCAAGAGAGAGACCCATACCTTTTTTTAATTGATGGGGCAGGGGAAATTTCTTTCCTTTGTATGTGCTATTTTATGTTACTTCTTTGCATTGTAATTTCCTCACTTTGATGCTATTTCTGTAAGAGTCAAAATACTTTTTAAATTTAATTTAAGGCTGAAGAAGCACATATTTTAATAAAGTTTACGGGTACAAAGAAATGTTGCTGTATTTGTGACATAGGAAAAAATGGGTAGGAAAAAACCTGGTGCACATCAGAGCTGTTTCACATAAATAATCATTTAAATCAACTTTCCTGCCTCTGTTTTTAATATATGATTGTTAAAAAGGAGCATGGACCAGACTATGAGCACCAATGGGTTTGGAACAATGATCTGATGGCCAATTCACTCTACACCCAATATTTTAATATTTTAAGATTATTGTAATTTGCAAAAAGAGATAAATGGGAAGCTATCATGATACAGTACCAAAAGCAGTTTAAATCATCATCTTAAATTCGAAAATGGCCCCTATAAAGACCCCATAGGAATATTGGAAATAAGAAATTGAATATTTTGTTAAACATGACTAGCTTTTTTGATCATAGACTCTCCCATTTTCATTCAGGAACTGTGGAAAAAGTATGATAAACTTTTTGAACTCCAAAGTTAATCATGCAGCTATACTTCTTGACAAATCAAGCAAAGCGACATAGTAACATCCCCCCGCTCATCATTTGATACATACATTTTTTTAGTTAGAAACTGCAAAAAATGTTCTGTTACAGTTTTGTCTAAATGTGCCATAAAGATGAAATAAATGACATGTCCTAGGCTCATGTACCAAGATGTCAAGTGGTGTCTAGGATGCAGGGTGAATATATCTAGGAATAAGTAGATATATGAGCCATGGTGGTGCAGTGGTTAGAGTGCAGTACTGCAGGCTACTTCTGCTGACTGCCGGCTGACTGCAGTTTGGCAGTTCAAATCTCACCAGGCTCAAGTTGACTCAGCCACCCATCCTTCTGAGGTGGGTAAAATGGGAACCCAGATTGTTGTGAGCAATATGCTGACTCTGTAAACCTTTTAGGGCTGTAAAGTACTTTGAAGTAGTATATAAGTCTAAGTGCTATTGCTATTGCCAAGTAACAGATCTACAAATCTAGTGAAACCCAGGAAGCTGCCCTATTGTGTCAGAACATCTAGCCAGGTTATTTTACCCTAATATTATCAATTGTGACTAGCAGCAGCTCTCTGGGGGATCTTATATAAAACTTTCTGCTTGCCAAGCACATCTTCCATGAATCACAGTCCTAGTTGCCCCAGGAAAGCAGATGATCATCCTTCAAAAATGTTCCAATAACAATCCCACTGAGTGACTTGGCAGCAGGATGTCCAGTTGTCTCGTGCAGTCAAATAAAATGAAATGTCTATTTATTTGTATGCATTTACACAGGGATTAACTTCTATGAAAATACATTCCCAAACCTCCAAGTATGGTGTTAAAATCATATCATTTAACTAGATTTTTAAAATATTTATTCCTAGATTGAACAGGTTTTTTAAAAAGTTACCTGGAGTTAATTATGCAAGCACTGCATCCCTCTTAAATAATATGGGACCAGATTCTAACTAAAAGATTTTACACTATATTCCATACATACACAATGCATTTTAAATTGACAGGCATTCAAAAAAAAAACCTTTAAACATAACTGAATGAAATTTGCAGGATATTTCTCAGGCTATGGAGTCTGGTGAAGAAATGGAGAAAACGTTTGGGACATGGAAGAATTTTAAAATAATAATTGGATATTTCTTTCTGCAGATAGCATATATATTCTATTAATGCTGGGAGTACATGTTTCCTGATTAAATTTTTCCAAAAAGAGGTAAACACTTACAATAGAGGAAGAAACATGACTACACATTTTGCTTTCCATTTCAGTTTCTTAAAAAAACTAGATAATATTTTTTTAAAATTGAAATGCTTGGACTACGGACACTATAGACTCCCTGGGGAGAGGAGAGAACTAACACTTTGTGGGTGTCTAAAAAAGTTGAATGAAATGGAATAAATGTTATACACAAAAAGGAAAAGGAAAAAATAAAGGCAGCAGCTATAGTACATCTATCTGAGTTATTTCAGTTATCACATGATTCTCTGTTTCTTACTCTTTATCCATAAAATATATTAAGTCATTTACAATGCAACCCTTCTACCCACGTCTTCCCTTCTTTTCTATAGTACTGCTACAAAGAGAGTTTCCTAAATCTCTTTGCTGCCTTCTCATGGTCATCTGGATTTCTGTAGTCCAGATTTAATAGCTGTAAGATTGATTGAAGTGAAATCATCCTCCACATTTCTTGATTTACCAGAATGAATCATCTGAAGGGTCTATTTTTCTTACTTTCTTGGTTAAGCTTCCTTCCTTCCTTCCTTCCTTCCTTCCTTCCTTCCTTCCTTCCTT